TTCGACAGGAGCCGCTCAACCTGAATAGCTAGTGGCAAGTTTGTGTTCAATGTAATTCATGTTTTAGTTAGCTACTTAATGACCAGAAAAACGTGCAAAATTTACTACAGGAAACTTTGATATTCATGACATAACGATCAACATCACTGTTATTAATCGATAAATGATTGCTTTCATTTGTCTCTTGGTTAAGCTGGTAAGATATGGTTGCTTTCCGTGGCTATTTATACAACGAGATTCCAAATATTTTTTAAATTTAACAAAACTTTTTAAAGAAATATTTATTTTTTATTTATATATTCCGCTAGCATTCTCAAAAAACTTTTTTATAAACTAACCGTAATAATCTTGTCTTTAACAGATTTTTGATACATTTACACTTTTAGATACTGATGTATACTAGTCCAAAAGGTATAAGGTTATATGACCATCATAAAAGTAGTTGACCGCAAATAAATACCCCCTTTGTGTGGTTCGCGCTAAGCTTACCGGTTGGCAATAAATCGTCTTCTAAACATTTCTTGCTCGCATTTAACAGGGCCGGCTTTCAAAGCGAGTGGTTATTTCGAAACCCTCAGCGACTGCAGGTAGTAAAGAAATAGTGAAGTGGTGGAGTTTCATAGTTAGTGAAAGCCGCCCCTGAACGAAACCACAACAGCCGGTCGAGCTGCAGTGGACACGTTGTTTACGACCGTAAAACCATTTCTATTGTAAACAACTTAACTTCGACACAATGGGATGATTTTATGATGGCCATATAACCTTATAGCTTCTGGTCTACTATAACTATAAATATCAAACAAAACTGTTTAAATGTAGTAGAGAAGAAATCACTTAAAAATGGACTCGAGTAGGGAAAGACTGGAAAGTTGAAGAACGATATATCAGTTTATAAAAAATGATAATCCTTAAAAGTCCGTTAGCTACCTACTAATTTTAGTGAAGTTTGCATCGTAAAGTGAATTAGATGCACAAAAAGATATGTGATAAAATAGTTTTACATAAAATCTGGTATTTATTAAATTTGCTACTTGTGTTGCAAGTTCTGCATATTTATAATGTGACTTTAAAATTAGCGTCATATATTTATGAATTACTAATGTCTCCTACAATTTTTTTTGCAATGGTTATAAATGTTATTTAAAGATTATACAACGGAGTTAGGGACGACACCTAACATTAATTTACATTACAAAAGGTTAACACAAACTTTTTATTTAAAATTAATATCATCTCAAAACATTAATAAACAATGCGTCATCTACTCTACTAGTACCCGCAGAACTGACAGATTTTACCAAAAATATCGAAAGCGTGTTGCTAACATATTTGGTGTAGAAATTTTTGACAAAATAAATTTTTGTAGGCTGCACCAGACGTTTTTATTGTGAGCTTTATATTGGCTAATCGAAACTAAAATATAGAATACAAAACAACAATAAAAAAGTAATACAATAATAAACGTGATGTTATTGTAAAATGAAATATAAAAGTAAAGATGGATAAAGACGAGATTAGGCAACTTAATAAAAAGAAAATTTATGTTACGGTTTGCTATACACAAGTAAGTAGGTATAATATGAACACTGAAGCTGAGATTTCGACGTTTTGTTTCTAAATTAAAAAATTAAAAATTATTTACACTATTGGGTGCTATAAAATCGTTGCATTAGTTCCAAAGGACTTATTTTCTGTAACGTCTTACCCCAAAGAAATGAAATACAAGCTGGAAAAGAACCTGTTATTGCGCGAAAAAAATATTAAACATTCATATTTACAGAAAATAACATCTGTAGGTACCTATATTAACAAAATTATCTGCTACATTAATATTGGAGTAAATAATTTAGTAATGGCAATAAAGAACCATTCATTCAACAGTTCTTAATTTATTAATTATTAGTGTAATTATTGAACTTGTTCAATAATTCTCAGAACATACAACTTAACATTAGGTATAAGCTTATAGAAATATTTTTTTAAGGCGAAGGAATATTCCCATTATGCTAATATCAGAATTCAATATTCAAAATTTTTCTTAGTTTGATCTGTGAATTTTTGAATGATTTATTTTAATATTACATTTCCCATTCACAAAACTAAGAGATACAAATATGTACGATATGATTAACATAAAGAACAGCAAAGTAATTTTATGGAAACTATAATCCATACAGAAATAAACAATGTTTCAAACGGTTTTTGAATTATTTTAAAAATGCATTTCTGTGATTTTAGTTTTCATAAAGAAAATTTATGAACGTAAGTATATTGCAATAAAATATACTTATACGTGTATTAGGTATACATATAGGTATTTTTTTACTAATTCAACCGAATTCGTCTATATCTTGCCATGTGAAATTTACGATAGATAGGGAGTAAAAAAATAATCATCTTGTATACCGCTAAACTAAGAAAAAAATCATTAATAAGTGTTATGTCTAATTAATATTCCCATTTGATAAAATCAAATTATTCTCATGTCTCATAATTCATAAACTGAAGAAAGTGTCGGGAAAAAATACACGGTATACCTATAGGTTTGAAACTATATCCATATCCTAGATAAAATTTTAAAAATCTGAGATAAATTGTTTTCAACAAACAACAATTTTTTTTTTTGCTTGCATGATCTGTTTTATATATGTACCTATCATTTAAATGTTTAAAGATTGTATGGTTTGACTCCCTTAAACGTACATTTAGGTACGTAATTTATTAAAAAACATTTAAAGTCAATAATTAATTGTGTTAATTATCTAAACTATGAAAAAAAAAAATGTTGGCATTGTCAGCATCTGCGACCAACTAGAAATTTGTTTTTAATTTTTCAGTTTTTAGTTTACTATCATTACCACACGAACTAGAGGGATAATATTGCCTCTTTACCTTGGAGTTGAAAATTTAAAACTAGTAGATAAGTTTACGTAGCATGTTTTCTAAAATAACGATTGTCAGTGTTGTACAAATGATCTAAATTAAATAACCTAGATTCTCATTTGGATAATTATTTTTTATATAATTTGGAAAAGAAACGTTATAACATACTTATCTATCTCATTATTTAAGGTAAATTGTTATTTATTTTTGTTACACTTAACAAGATAATGTGAGTCCAGTTCATTAAAAAAAACTTTTTATGTTACTAAGTATGTATATATTTCATTAGATATATAAAATATATCGATATGGCAACAGTAAAATTGCGCCTATACCTATGTTCCGAGGTAACTATGAAGATAGTAAAATATTTATAATGATCCTTAAATGAAAGCTAAAAAACATATTCTAATGTGACCAATTTCGCCAGTTGTTAACTCGTAGAATACGGAAATGCACGTTTGTCGTTTTGATTATTTTTTGTTCTGTTGGCGATTTTACTTAACAAACAATCTTTAACACGATACCATCAACTAAGTATAATGAAATTTTCGAAAATTAAACGACCGCCAAGATTTATATCTGTACATTCTTCAGCAATTCTAGCAGTTAGAGTGAAAATCATAGCATATTCCTTCATTTGCAAACCAATAATTAGCTTCAATTTTTAAAATCATGCAAGTTTGTAAAAAATCAGATTTGAATCTTTAGATTTTATAGTTTATTGGAGAGGCAACATAAAAGATTTTTTGGAAATTTTGGCAAGATGCTGAAGAGCGTCTAATACTAAGTAGGTACTTATTAGATAGGCTTGTGCTTCATCAGTTTGTCGCTATTTTTTAACACTGCTGTGGAGAATGTTTTACAACAAATGTATTTTTTATTTCATCGATTTCTCATTACTCATCTAATTTTTACCTATTTTACCTCAATGTAAAATGTGTGTATTCTTTGAAATATACAAGTTTGTGCATATAAAAAAATAATTCACTCTTATCTAATTTTAAAACTATCAAGTTAAATTTCAAATTTCATACATGACTTTAAAAATAGAACTCACGTTATGGGAAACAAATACAAAAAATCACATATTTTCAAAACTCTTAAAACTATATAGGTACCTATATAGTTCTAAAATTAGCGACTATCTAAGTAATTTCATGAGTGCCACAACTACACATCTACAATTGGGTCCAATGAATACTTATGTAAAATTATTAATTTCGCTAATGTAGAAGCTGTCAATACTGATCTCCGATAGGTACCGCATTTTAATAAGTCGAAAAATATGTGATCCCCTTTAATTAACACGTAATAATATAACTTTATTCCATAGTTATTATAGGCTGTTAAAAAAACTGGTATGTACCTACTCGTAAAAAACTTTTGTGCATGCAGGTGTTCACAAGTTAATAAGAGGATGTGCGTACGATGTTTATAATTATAAGTTAGGTACTAATACTACTAAAAATAGTATAACAAAATATGGCGATTTTTTTTTTACTTTGAATTTTTGCCATAGTCTTGTTTGCTGTAAATGTATTTTTTTATAAATGAATGTTGACGACCGAACGACATCTCCGGTAGCATAATTATTTGAATTAATTTACCAGAGATATGCAGACTCCTTGTTAAATAAATTAGCCATCTTTTTTCGAAAAAGGACTCCGCAAAAGAAAAACAAAAACCAATCGTGATGAAGATTCCTGAAAACGCGTCGCCACTTGACCTTCGCCAAACACGCAGAATTCTCACCTCCCTAATAAATAAGTCCGAATGATTCATTACGTTCCCGCTACCGGAATACGGGAAACACACACTGCTCAGCTGAGCGTCAAATCTTAAACAATTCACAAATTATCAATTTGAAACTCCTTGTCCCGCCCCTCGCCCCTCCGAAACTCCACCCCGCGCTTGCGCCAGTGGCGTCTCAACACGCCGTTCCGCGTACAGTGTGCACGCCGTCCGGAATTTCCCCCGCCAATTTGGTCCATCTCTGTTTTTCCCGTAGCGTAGATGAGTCCCATCTCGGTTCCGCCACTGTCCTCCGCCCCGCCGTGTCCCATCCTCATACTAAACCCAATCAACGCGTGGTGTTGGGCAGTCGTGGCGCCGCTACGCAACCGTCTCGACGCGAATGCCCATCACTATCAGCCAGACCTCCACGTGATCCGGTCGATGGTTCGTGATGTCATTCAGTGGTACTTAGCCAGTGCAGTGTACCAGTGCCACAGACCCAACAGAGACTCGCGCCCGCGGTCCATGCGTACCATGTAAAGCGCGATCATGAGCTCGTACCAGTTCGTCAACTCCCTGGCCCAGTGCTACGGCCAGCAGCGCCCCGCGGAGCAGGCCGCCGCCCCCGGCTCCGACTACTACAACCCGAACGCCGCCGCCACGTCCTCGTACCCGCCGGCGTGCTACTCGCCGCCGCAGGTGGCCCCCCAGTACCCGCAGCACCCGTACGCCGCCCCCGCTCCTGGCCACGGCCTCCAGCCCGCCATGGGCGACTACACCCAGCTGCAGCCGCAGCGCCTCGCCGCCAACCACCTGCACCACGCGAGCCCGGGGGCGCAGAGCCCCGGCATGCTCAACCCCTCGGCCAGCTGCAAGTACGCGGATTCCACCGCCTCCACGGGGGTGGCGTCGCCCCAGGACCTCAGCACCAGCGCGCCCGCGAGGTCCACGCCCCCGCTGCCCAGCAGCCAGAGCGGCGCGGCCACCTCAAAGACGTCGCCGCTTTCCGTCAGCACGTCGCCGCCGGGGAAGCCCGCCGCCGCCTCAACCGCCTCGCAGAACTTGTCCTCGCCGGCCTCGAGCACCAGCTCCACGTCGAGCAACGAGAAGGCCGGCGCCAACAACAACAACGCGAAGAGCGGACAGACGAGCAACCCACCGCAGATCTACCCCTGGATGAAGAGGGTTCATCTCGGACAGAGTAAGTAAAAGAATACAACATTAATATGACGTAAATCAAAGAACGTGGCGCTGAGACGGAGGGATGTTGGCGGTAGTGGCCATAAATCAAGCGGTTTGCTTCGGAACGACCTTTGGGCCCCATACGTAAACGGACACTTCTCGCCAGAATGCCTTTTGCTTTAAATATTGATATATTCGCATCGTTCGATCAAAAAGTAATCTTTTAAGAACCACTTGTGGATCTCGAGGGCGAGGAAGGGGATGATTTACCACGAAATCGACTATTTCGCGAGATTCAATTCACGAAACTATATTTACGTCGCTTCTCAGTCATTCCCAGAATCTTTGTTTTCTTTATACGGTCTCTGTTGCTACATTCTGAGAACGATTTTCACAACTTTTACTTCCGCACTTTCATCGGTCCTTTTTTTATTTTTATCAGTTCAAATAATTTGTTCAAACCGGTACCAACAAATTTTGTGAACGTCTTTGTCAACGATAAATAAATATCAACCTAACAATAATAATTATCAAAACTACAGACTAAAACTAAATTTGGTATTATATTCTCGGGGCTGAAATTATTATTTCGCTTTAAAAATGACATGCATCAATAACATTTGCTTAAATATCCTTTTAATATCAATCGCAATTTGGACATGCCTATTTCGTGTTATTATTTTTAACCACAGCTCTAATTATTCATTGCCTAATCGGTTTTGTGTACCTACCTTGGTCACATTTATTTTTGACGATTTAAACCGTGTCATTTTCCGTGTTTGTAAAATGGGGGAAATGAAACAAAATGTATCTGTGGTAATAATATTATTTGAAAAGTTCTAACAACCCGCCAATATCAAAAGCGCTTGAAAATATTTTTGTTATAAAAACTTAAACACGCTGTAGATTATTTTAATGAAAATTTTTGGCGATATATATTAGTTTATCTCAGAGTCTGAGTTATGTGTTTAACGATACTATTATTTTTAATTAAAAAAAAGTCTTTCAACCACGAACACTTGTGCGAATGCGGCTTTTCTAAAAGCAACAGCTGTTAGTTAGAATAAGGAATTTTCCAGACATATGATATTTGGCTCGACAAACCAAAGAGAAGTAATTTTAGTTATTTATGACACCTTTTTTTATTATAAGTATATAACAAAACTTTTTTTTCTTTTATTTCTCAGCGTTTGCCGAATGTGTACCGCCAGTATTAAACATGTACTTACTACAAACAAACTACAGAACATGAAAAATGTTACAAAATAACATCAATATTGAAATTTTGTTTAGAGAAAAAAAAATCGTCAATTTGAATTCATTCGACGGCAGCATTTGTTATCGATTGCTCATCTTATAAGTTGAACCACTAACAGAAGATCTGCAGTTATATTAATAACACGTATTTCATACTGTTACAATTGTTAGCACCTTCACAGACATAGGGGTGTCTCAACAATTTTATTACAATATTTACTAACATTATTGGTGCAAGTAAAGTCGTTGAAAACCAGCTAGAAATAGTAGCACACCTAGCACTACGTTTTCTTTAAATTCAACAAACATATTTTACTGTGTACAATGAATTTTACTTTAAATTGGGTCAATGCAACCAACGGAATTTGCTGAAGTTTTCTAATTTTAAATTAAAACGACGCTTGATACTAAATACTTACTTGCAATAGGAAACGTAGAGTTACGGCAGCGCGAAGTTGTATTTCGTCGAACGCCAATCTGACAAATCTTTTAACTCCGCATTAAAAAATAAATAGCCTACATCACAATAATCGCCACGGTTTTTTGTAACATAAAACATTGAATATTAAATCGCAATTTCGATTATAAATATGCATTGCCGATTAATGCCCTTTTCTTTTTTTATTTCCCTTCCCGTTTTCCCGCTGCAACACTGATTTAGATGTAAACGCATCTATCCAATTACGAATGATGGTTCGCGAATGAGATAATAACATACTGTTGACTCCCCAGGCATGAATCTCAAGGATAAAAAATGTTCAACGCCCCTGCAAAACTTGACACTGTTACTTGCAACGGTTCGCAAGAGCAAAACGAACACAAAGGGTTTACCACTCACTAATCTATAATTACCACAACTGCATTCACAAAGATAACAATATAATATGTAATAGGGACTGTGTTGAGTTTTTGTCTTGTTTTTTAATCGATGCGTTGCTCGAAAAGGGTCGGAGATAAATTAGAAGGTGATAGATTATGTAGAGCAGATTTACTAATCTGGTTAATAATGGTGGAAGGTAGGAAAGAAAAAAGTTTCTCACGTAAATAATATTTTAATCGGCTCAACAGGAGTTTAAAACGATAATAAACTGAAGGTATTATTTCATAGTAAGTAATTGTTCAAATTGTTGGAGTGTTAAATTATTATTCAATTAACCAAAAATCTTATCTGGTAATTAAAAACTTAATAATTCCTACGTATAAAAAAAATAAAATTACCTATACCACGGTGCGTGGTAGTGCGCTAATAAGCGTGCGTGGTAGTCAGTCAATAAATCAAGTTTTCTCGTTACAAAAAACTTCAAGACGATATAAAATTCAAAATAATTTCATTTATGTTGTAAAACTGTTGACAAGCAATAGCATGCTTACGATTAAAACTATTCTGTGTTTGCTATAAATAAATTTGCAGTCGGACGTAAACCCAAAAAAAAAAACAAAATAAGATAAAGGTCAATAAGAAAAAATGTAATATGGTTTTACTATCGCTGAACTGCATAGGTAGGTATCACTGTGAAAAAAAAACAGGAAAACTTGCTGTATGTTCAACAACCAGTTTTTAATTAGATAGTTTAATTTTAAAAAGTAGTTAATGAATTTGATTAAAAACATATTTGCCATTGTAGGAATAAGATTAAAGAACAAAAAGAACGTTAATTTTATACGTGAATATTTATGGCTGACGATTTGATTGATCGATCATTAAGACATAAAGGAAAGTCAAATACGCTGACTATGGTGAAATTAAAATTGTATTTCTCAGTGTCTACACAGTGAGAACTACTCAATTTGGATCACAAAAACCACGATTTTTTTTGTATATAATAATACCCCTATTATTAAATCGAAATTGCTTTAGTCTTTTCCATTTACAAGCCGATAAAGTGATCATGATTATTATATTCAACTTTTATATATTTTTTTTGTTTAGTTTTATTGTTTTACAAAATAAAAATTAGATTTTCGAAAAAAATTTTTTTAGGTGATTCATCACAGTGCATTTTATTAATTGACACCGAAAATGCAAAAATTGTCACCGCATTTCGCCAACCACGTTGGCATTATCTAGACCAAACTAATTGTTCAGTCAGTAATAAATATTATAGCAATGAATATTTAAAATATTAAGATAATAATAATGGATTATTTAAAAAATTCCATTCCTTTTTTGGTTTATACATACGACTTTAGGCAAATTAAAAAAATATTGTACGGAGAATGTTTTCTTGAAAAACATATTTCTAGCGTTTCTGTAAATACAATTATTTAGTAATTGTCAATTGTCTAGAAAATTTTACGACCGATAAATTAGAAATGCTGTTAATTAGGATTGGGTTGCTATCGTGAGCTTACGATAATTAATAATTAGTTAATGTGGAGGTTTTTCCTTCCCCGTTTATCTCAGTTTATTAGTACAATATTTTTTTTTAATTACTAGGACAGCGCTATTTTTCATTTTAAGTGTGTTATACCGATGTTCTGGATCGTTAGCTCGTCTTTGTGCAATGTATCAATGATCCATAAAATCTGTAAATTATAAATTAGAAACCAGTAAACAATACACAGGACTGTTTAGAAGAGAGCATAAGTGAGATTAATTTGTGACAAGAAAAACATCAAGTAGTCAAATTACTAAAAAAAAAAAAAAATTTAAAATTGTAGATAAAATAACTTATAGGAGCTAAAAACTGCAACTTTTTTATATCAATAATGTAAAGTTAACTTTACGTCACGTTCACTTAGAAGATATTATTTAGTCACATTAAAATTCTTCAAGATTTTTTTATAATAAGAATTTAATTGTTCAAAGATTTATTTCACAGCATGCAGGTTCAAGTCAAAAATCGTTGTAAAAGCGAACTTAAAATATTGATGTGTAATAATAATACAATTTACAAGTATTTAGGTACTACATCAAAACAAGAGTTAAGTAGATAAAGACGTCGAACCTACTCGTGGTTTCAAGTAAATCAAAATTTGTTTGTTTTCTAAAATTCATCACGAATATAACAAACTCTTCGTTCAAATGAAATGATGATATTTTTCGTTGGTCCAGTAGATATACCGAGTTCCCGAGGTATTCGAATTCCGTAAACGCTATTGTCTTTAGTTTGAAGGGGAAAGCTTAATTTAGTAGGTACACTGCAAAAATATGAATACACTAAACTAAGAATAGTCCTGTTTTTAGTAGTAGCTGCCCGAAGAACTGCTGATATTATTTTTTCGAATGAAAACTTTTATTTAACATTATCTTTTGAAGGTGGCACAATAGGTAGTATAATGAAAGATAACAATAAATACAGAAAATGAAACGCAAACGAAAATGTTTGTTAAAAAAAAAACTCGAAAACCAGCCCTAACTTTAAGAAAAGGTTTTACCAAATTAATAGTAGATACCCTAAAACAAATAGATTTTTGCAATTACAATATTTGTGGCAAATTTCTTGTTGCTCAGTATACTCTTTAACGTTTAATATTAGTTTTTCCTTTTATCGAAATAAAATTGGGAATTAAAATACAATTTGAAACAAATTATTACCAACCACACATCTTACCATACAATACTTTTTATTATTACTTTACTTCCTTACTTTTCTTTGGAAACTAGTTTAGGACTGGAGAATATCACCACTTTGTTTGAAAGTTTAAAAAATAAACTTAAGTGGTAGTATAATTAGTACCAAATAAGCGGTACCCCATTTTGCTTTATTCTATCTAAGCAAAATTGAATTGGATTATTTGCTTTTACTTACTTGATATGTA